CATTCCAGGTATAGGCAGGAGAGGGGTAAATTCATGAAAGTGCCATGGATATAGAGCAATCAAGCACCTATCTACAGTTGGTACTAGATTCCTACGACGTGGAGACTAGAGGGGAGTGGAAGTGACTGAAGCAGTGACTGGAGAGGCTGACAGGACCCATGTGTTTGAGCTACCAATTCTGAACTTTACCTTGGAAGTGACAAAAAACCACTGAAGGATTATAAGCAAAGGAGTGATGACACAGAGTTGCTTCTTTAGCACTAACACATCATCCAGCAATGAGGATGATGAATTAAAGGCTGGGGAGTTCAGAGGCAATGAGGTCTTTAGACCATTGCAGGAGGTGAGGTGAGGGGTGATGAGGACCCCAACTAAGGAAGGGGCTGGGACGGAAGAGGAGAGGAGACACAGAAAAGGGCCTTTCCAACTGCAGGCCCAACCTACTAGTGAGTTGTAACAGCAGCCAACGGATAACAGCCAGGCTTTATTAACAAATAGAAAAAAATATATTGATGTGCCACGTGGCTCCTATATGAATCAGGGCTTTGTAAAGAAAGAAAAAAAACACACAACTTCAATTATCTACCAAAACAGGTCATTGAATATTAATACAGATAATAATCTACTATGATTTAAATTGTTAAATATGGATGTGTTTGTATGAATATAGTTATATTGAGCCAGAATATAAAATTAAGTTTTTCTGAAGATCATGAATAAAAATACTTGAAACATAGTGACTTAGAGACTAGTTCAGAATAGGCCTTGGTGACCATTTGAACAGGATGAGAGGCTACAAGAAAAAAATGTGGCTAGGTTGACAGTGGCTGCTCAGGTATGTTTAACTTTGGGACACAAAGTTGAAGGAGTTCATGCCCCACCCCACCCCCTGAGAAGCTATACAGGAAATAAATGGGAAACTGGCTCTAGGATGGAGGAAAGAAGCTGAGGCTGCAACCAGAGATCTGGGGGTTCTCGGGGCATTAGTGACCAAGCAAGCCTTGGGAAACGCCACCCTCACATGGAGAGAATACGTGGAGTGTGAAGAGCAAAGGGCAGAAGTGAGGGCACCTTGAGGCTCACCAGATGTAACAGCGCCAGCAAGGAGAGGAGGCAGTCCTGGCCAGAAAACGAGGAGGGAAACCAGGCCTCCAAAAACCCAAGAAGCGTTTCAGGAAGATGGAGCCCATTTGTTCAGATGCAGCGCAAAGGCCATGAATGCTTGAGAACAGAGACCCTACAGTTGGTAACTGGGGCTTCATGAGAACAGTCTGGGGGAAATAATGGGCAGAAGTAGGCTTCCCTGGTGCCTCGGACAGTAAAGAGTCTGCCTGCAGTGCAGGAGACCCAGGTTCAATCCCTGGGTCAGGAAGATCCTCTGGAGAAATATCTTCCATTCCAGTATTCATGCCTGGAAAATCCCACGGATGGAGGAGCCTGGCAGGCTACAGTCCATGGGGTCGCAAAGAATCGGACACGGCTGAGCGACTTCACTTCACTTCAACGGGCAGAAGTAGAGTGACTAACTGTACCAGTTTGCCCAAGATTGGGGGTTTCTTGCTCCACGGCACTTTCAGTGCTAAAACTGGACAGTCCTATGCAAACTGGGATGGTTGGTCACCTTATGCCTCAAAATAGTTAAGGTTTAAGTAGCAGATGAGATGGAGGCAAAAAGTATGGATTCTTTTTCTGAGAGACTCCAACTCTAAAAAGAAGAATGTAGAGTAATATTCCCTCTAGAGAAAGAAACAGGATCAACAGAGTTTTTCACTTCTTTATTCTTTTTCTTTCTACTTTTTAAAGCCATGCTAAAGGCTTAGTTCTACAATGAAAGGAACAAGTGAGGATGAGGTTGGAGCTGTAAGAGACTAGGGATAACTGATGGAGCAGCATCTTGTCCTCAAGGAGCAGAAGAGGCAGATGCTGAGTCCTGAAGGAAGGAGAAGGTCCCACCTGCTTGAGAGAAAATTCCATGTGTGAAAGTGGGGATGGGAAATCAAAGGGGATTACAACAGATTCTTTCCATCTTGTCAGGACGTGGATTGAGGAGACGGGTGGGACTGAGGCTTGAAGGGAGATGAGCAAAAGCGTGGAAGAGCTCTTCAGATGTAAGAAAACTAAAACACATTCCAGGAAACAAGGAATGCCCAGCTGAGATGGGGACTCATGAATATGCAGAGTACAATGTAATTATTATTACTAACTAAGCTAAGGTCCTCAGCCTGTCCAAAGTCATACAGCTGCAAGCATATTATAACATATTTCCAGTCTTGAAAAATATCTGTTGCTGTTGTTTATAGTCGCTGAGTCATGTCCAATGCTTTGTGGCCCCATGGACTATACCCCACCAAGCTCCTCTATCCACGGGATTTTCCAGGCAAGAATACTGGAGTGGGCTGCCATTTCCTTCTTCAGGGGATCTTCTCAACCCAGGGATCAAACCCACATCTCCTGCATTACAGGTAGATTCTTTACCATTGAGCCACCAGGAAAGCCCCTTGAAAAACAAAATCTACCATTGCACTTAAGAACAATTGTCTATGGGCAAGTATATGGTTAAACAGGAGACAAAAATACTTGCTAAACAGGCTTCAGGAAAAAATGACACGAGAGAGCAACAGTGTGTTCAGCCTTTGGCAGGACTGTCACTAAATGGGCACTCCTCACAGTACTGCAGTAGAGGGAACAATCAGACGCGTGTGATCTCAGGTTGGAAAGTAATGCAGGGAGCAGAATCAGAGATGCGGCAATTTGGAACCTACAGAGGGGCCAAGCACACATTCCTGGCACCCTGGATGACTTGGCATCTTGACCTAAAGCCAAGTCTTGGCTGCCTGATACTAAGAACTCTCTGTCCTTCTTGGTGGGCATTTATACATACCCTATGCCAAATCCCCATGATAATCCTTTGAGATAGTTCTCCAGCTTTGCCAGTGGGGAAGACTGCTTCAATATGGTTAACTAGTCCATGACTGGTAAATTAGCAGGGATGAGGTATAGCTAAGCTGACTGATTTAGCCCCTCCCTTTGCCCTTCTTTCTTTTCACCTGTAACAGTAAGGATAATAACAATATCTAAGCAGAGACCTTTGTAAGTATTAAATGAGATCAAGGATGTGAAAGTGCCAGGGACCCCCACAGATGCTGTTCATTTCTTTGTCGAGCACAGTAGTTTTCAACTGGTAGCAATTTTGCCCCCAGAAGATCTGTGGCAACGGGGCTATTTTTGATTGTCACAAGTAGAGGAGTGCTATTGGTCTCTAGTGGGTACAGGCCAGGGATGTTGCTAAAAATTCTACTGTGCACAACCCCCACAACAAAAATTCACCTGCCCAAAATGTCAGTGGTGGTGAGGAAGACCCCTGCAAGCAGCATAATGCAGGGGACTGGGAATCACATACGGTAACAAATCACAACAGGGTCTCACAAGTAACAGGTCACAGTGATAGGATGCTTGTAGTTCTGGATCTTGGACCCACTACTTGCTTTGGGGAAGTTATTTAACCTGTGTGAACCTTACCTTTCAAATGGGGATCATAATAGCATAAAGTCATCTCAACAAGTTAAATTGTTGCCGAATAATTTTCTGCTAGCACAATGAAATTACTCACTCATCACCGCCTTGAAATTTAATAGTCACCAAGTGTCTGAAGATGCCAAGAGTTCTTTTCAGTTAGCAAGGCTCACTGCTGTATTTCCTGTGTGCCTTCTCAAGACAGCTTTTCTTCAGAAGAGAGTGACTTAAGGATAGCATTGAAAGTTGTCTGCCATGGCTCAATACCATTTGTTCTTTCCCCAAATTCTTTTCTGAAAAGATGGCAGTACTTTTGATTTACACAAACACGGACCTAGATTCTAAAATCTTTTGCCTAACACTGGGTTTCAACTTTCTCCCATGCAGACATTCTTACCCTCTATCTTGGCTACCTGAACAGAAGCAGCTCTCTGCTCTACAATATAACCAGTAGGCAATATCTTGTATTGAAGGGGTGTTGGTCTCTTGACGTTTTCACCGGAAAAGTCTACAGAACTGAAGGGCTCCCTTTTGCTTTTCCAGCAGCTCACTTCCCACCCAAGCTTTCCTCCTCTGTCCCTCAACCATCCTGCTACGCTGCCACTTCATGGCTGGTTAAAACACGTCTTTTCCCCAATCTCCCTCTGATGATCAGATCAGACTACTCTCCAGGGCTCCTTCAGATTCCATTCATCAAACCTGTTATCCAGGGAAGACTCCTTTGGAAACTTCACACTTTCTCTATTCCCTTTCTTGGAGGGACTGTGGGTCTAGGGAGTGAGGAAGCACAGCCAGGCAGAAACCAACAGAGGGAGGAGCCGAGCAGCAGGAAAGAGGGTAGAGAGAGTACAGCTTGTAAGGGAAAGGGCAGACAGATCAGCCAGCAAGGAGCATGGGACTCACACCCCTAATGGCTTCCATGTGTAGAAAACATTTAGCTATGTGTATAAAATCCATATACCTGCAGAACCAATCCAACAATGGGGGGTGGGGTAGGCTCAAGCCACGTTCTGTATTTTCCCTCTGAGTTACCCAACAAGTTGTAAAACAGTGAAAACTGGAGAGGTATTGTCATCCCCACCGTCAGATGAGGAACCTTGGATGCAAAGATATTATAACTGGCCTAGTCTCCACCTCCCGAAGTGGCTGAAGCATGGCAAAAGGAGAGAAATAGACTCCAGGTTTGCTAAATTTCTCCCATACCAGAAATTTGCAAGAAAAGCCCATAGGAAAAAAATATCAGAGAGAGAGCAATGAGAGTCCAGAAAAAGAAAAATGAACAATAGCACTGATAAGAACGGGAGAGATAAAGAGACGGAAGAAACAAGGACCCAGAAGAAAAACTGGCGGAAAAATGACAGAGACCGACCCCGGCCCCCAACCGGGGAGCAGTAAGGGCGGGTCGCAGTGGCCCACTGGCCTCACGTCCTCAATAACACTGTCACTGACAAGGCAAAGAGACCACACAGGAAACCATCCTCTAAGAAGACACCCAAATCAATACAACATACCTCTGCTCCGTTCTTTTCAGTACAGACTTTAATGCACAACGCGCTCAAAGGGAAGGGAAGGAGAGCCCAGAGCACTGTCGGGAAGGGGCTGTTAACACTAAACACGCTAACCTTCTGATGGAAAGTTGACTAAGGGACTGGGGGCTGCAAAAGCCACCCCCTTCCCCGATCCCGTCTCGGTTTCTTGGCTCAACTGATCCGGTAAGAACCTATCAACGGCTTTTTTTGTTTGTTTTTAAACACGAGGCTGTGGTTAAAACAACCCCCAACTCCTTTTCATCTCTTTTTCTGAAGTTTCTTTTATTAATCGAATTTTTAAAATCCCGTTTCAACTCCACGTGCATGTGACGGTCGTTCTTTAGGCTCGAGAGAGACCCAGAGCGGGGAGCCCCAAGCGCAGTGTCTACTGGGGGAGAAGGGTGCCGCGCAGTCAATCCCGGGGCGCCCCCTCCTCCCCGGGCGCCCCTTCCCAAGCCCCGTCGGGCCTCCAAAGGCCGGCGAACGCCGAGCGGCTGTAGCCCGCGCTGTAGTCGTAGGACACCTGTTGGGGCGGCGGCGGCGGCGCCGGGGGCAGAGCGCAGTCTGAGAAGAAGGGGGCGAACGAGGCCAAGAGGCCGGGCCCATCGTCCCCGCCCGGAGAGTCCGCGGCGGCGGGGTACACGGAGCGCAAAGGCTCGTTCAAGGTCAAGCCACCGCGGGGCGCGGGCAGGGGCGGCTTCTTGGTCGCGGGGCCGCCCGGGGCGCTCCAGGGCTCGGGGTACAGTAGGCTCCCCACCATCGCGGGCTGGGGCTCAAACAGGCCGGGCTCCAGCTCCGGAGGTCCCCGCAGGACGGCGGCCCCGGCGGGGAACACATCGAGAGGCTCCGCGGCAAGTAAGGCACCAGCTTCGGTGCCCGCGCCGTAGTCGGGCCCCAGAAGCTCGAAGAACTCGGCGGCCTCTGAGCCCTTCTCCAAGTCGCCCAGGCTCACGCCGGGCCCCGACGGGCCGCACCCGCCGCCGCCGCCCGGCCGGGACGGCTCGGTGAAGAAGGATGGCGGCAGGTTGCGGGCCCGCAGCGGGACCTTCCTGGCGTTGAGGCCACTGCAGCGCTTGATCTGCTTCTGCAGGTACTTGCGGTGGTTCACCTTCCGCTTCGACTTGCCGGGCTTGTCCAGGGCCAGCTTGATGTTGCTAGACGCGGAGTCGATGAAGCTGAGCAGGTCGCGGGTGGCCTCGCGCGCGTCCCCGCTCTCGGCGCCCGCCAGCAGCGCGCCCGCCGGCGTCCCGGTCTCCTCATCCTCGAAACAGCAGCCCTTGTCCAGGGCTCCGAAGGCGCCTCCCAGCCCGTCCGGGGAGCCCCCGAAGCCGAAGGGGACGAAGGGGTGCGTGCTGAGGAGCGCCGCCTGGACTGCCATCGCCTCCGCTCCCAGGCGGCCGGTGCGCCCACGGCCGCTTCCCGCCCGCCGCCCAGGCCCGGCTGCCGCCCTGGCGCGGTGCGCGCGGGGTAGCTTCCTCGCTCGGGGCCGGCTCGCTGCTCGGCCTCCCGGGGGAGCTCATTAGGTCTTGTAAGCGAGGGGCGGAGGGAGGGAGCGCGCGGCGACCGCCCCGGTGGCGAAGGGGAGGGGCTTACTTAGCGGGGCTTAGCCGAGGAGTGGGGGGCGAAGGGGTCGCTTTTCTAGTTTTCTAGGCTTTCTCATGCTCATCTCCTTAACCCCTTAGTTTCCCTTCGCCCCGCGCGTTTCTCTTGGCCAGTTCCAGCCGCAAGATGTGAAGATGGGGTGGCGCGTTCTCAAACTCCAGCTCCTACACAACCACACCCGGGCGTGGGGCACTCTCGCTGAGGCTGAGAAGCAAGAAGACACGAGGGTTTCAACCCCAGCTCTAGTAATAATAGTAACCATCGGATACGGAGCTTGGGGGCTTCCCAGATGGCTCTCATGGTAAAGAACCTGCCTAGCAATGCAGGAGATGTAAGAGATACAGGTGCAATCCCCTGGGTTGGGACGATTCAACGGAGGAGAGCACTCCAGTATTCTTGCCTGAAGAATCCCATGGACAGAGGAGACTGGCGGGGCTCTGGTCCACAGGGTGGCAAAGAGTCGGACACGACTGAATCGACGCAGCAGCAGAGGCAACTTAACACGCACCAGGAACTTGCTTATGCCAGGCACTGTCACTGCATACCTCATTTAATCGTTGAACAATAGTCCTTTGAAGTACCTATTATCACTCTAACAAATGAGGAGACTGAGCCTGAGAGTTTCAAGGAGTTGGCCAACTCCAACTCCAACCATATCTACCCTGGTGGCTCAGAGGTTAAAGCGTTTGCCCTGCAACCCAGGAGACCCGGGTTCGATCCCTGGGTCGGGAAGATCCCCTGAAGAAGGAAATGGCAACCCACTCCAGTGTTCTTACCTGGGGAATCCCAAGGATGGAGGAGCCTGGTAGCTTATACAGTCCACGGGGTCGGACCCGACTGAGCGACTTCACTCACTCACTCACTCATATCCAGTCCAGGCTGACTCCAAAGCTAAGTCCTTGACAAAACCTAGGTTCTTTCTTGGCCTCGGCTTTCTCCCCTATCAGATGGGAGAAGGAAGCTAGTGTCGCTTGAAGCTCTAGCCCTGGTCCTGAGATTCTAAATCGATTTTCAGATTTTCATTCTCAACTCTGATATTGTTACAGGCAACGGTTTACAGCAAATTGAGGCCAGCGCTTGACTTATCTTTTGTTAGTAGTAGATAGTAGATAGAGGAGGCAAGGGAGAAAGTCACTCCCACTAAGCCAGCTGGTGCTTTAGAGAAAGAGCCCTGTGTGTGTATGAAGCTCTCAGTATCTTAAGACAAAATACGGACCAGAACCTCTTCCCTACCTGTCAAACCATTTAGGTTGCCCTTTTGGAACTTCTCTTGCCTCTCAAGAATCACCTTGCAGTTCATTTAGACCCACTTTGACCTGCGCAAGCTTCTTAGGAGTGAAAAATGAGTAATATGGCAGAGCATGGCAGATGATTCCGAAAGACTTGGGTTCTGATCTTAGCCTCACTACTCAGTCCCACTGTGTTGGGTTGAAATCCTACCTCTGATGAGTACATAACTTTGGGCAAACCAGCTGACCTTTCTCTGCCTTAGCTCACACATGTTAAATGCAGGTTAGGTTGCCCACATCACCAGGCACTTGTGATCTTTAAAGGAAACATCTTGCGCAAAAATCCTTATCTGTTAACTGTTCTATAGCCTATGATGAATATTTGCCCTTGTTTCTTTAAAACACAAAAAGGTGACTATGTTTCCTTACACGGACATCGAATATGCAATAGAACACTTCAATCACAAGGTGTTCCTGAGGATTTAGTGAGGTTATATATGAAGATGCTGTGTGTGTAATAAAGTGTTCCCTAAATAAATTATTATAGTTTAGGTGCAGAGTCTACCCAGGGCAGATAACTCTTTACTTTAAGCCTCATTTTTCAGGATGTAGCAAAACCATTTTTGAGCACTCTGAAGGCACAACCTTACCAAAGGAGAAAGGGCCAGATAAACACTTTTCATTTGGGAGATGAAGTACTTTTCCCACGCTGACATGCGGAAGCAAACTTAAAAAAAAAAAAAAAAACTCGCTAGCTCAATTATAATGTACCTTTCCTTTGAGTTACACACAAGATTTTGTCCTCCGTGATTGGACTGTTTTATTGTTGGTGACCTTGCACTCAGAAAATTGTGTGGACTTGTCACTGAGCTCCATTTCACCCCCCTCGGATGTGGATGTCAGCACTTTCCTTTCCCTGTCAGCAGGACCCTTCCATGGACCTCTGGGTCTGGCAGCCAAGAGCACTAACTCTTTTTTTTAACCTTCTTTCAACTGAGCAGCTCTTACAAATCCCCAGACAGAGACAATACATTTAACTGACATCTTTAGTCTGAAAAAAAACTCTCTTAATTCCTAGAGTTAGCTAAGCCCTCACATAATTATATTCAAGATAAATGGAATATGAAAACATTCATATATAAAAGTCTGTTTCCAGATCATTGGAGTCCTGAGCATCAGAACTGATTTGGCATTAGATGGGGTAGGTTCAAATTCTGGCCTGCCACCTGCAAGGTGAGTGCCCTCGGGCAAGTCAGTCTGCCTTTCTAAAGCTGTTTCTTCATCTGAAAAATGGGAGTGGTTCTAACTGTCCTCAGAGTCTTTGTGAGAATTAGGTAAACGTAGAGGCAGGTACTAAAAAGCCTCTAGATGAAAGTGAAAGAGGAGACGAAAAAGTTGGCTTAAAGCTTAACATTCAGAAAACTAAGATCATGGCATCTGGTCCCATCACTTCACGGGAAATAGATGGGGAGACAGTGGAAACCATGTCAGACTTTATTTTTGGGGGCTCCAAAATCACTGCAGATGGTGACTGCAGCCATGAAATTAAAAGACACTTACTCCTTGGAAGGAAAGTTATGACCAACCTAGATAGTATATTAAAAAGCAGAGACATTACTTTGCCAACAAAGTAATGTAAGTAAGTCTAGTCAAGGCTATGGTTTTTCCAGTGGTCATGTATGGATATGAGAGTTAGACTGTGAAGAAAGCTGAGTGCTGAAAAATTGATGCTTTTGAACTGTGGTTTTGGAGAAGACTCTTGAGAGTCCCTTGAACTGCAAGGAGATCCAACCAGTCCATCCTAAAGGAGATCAGTCCTGGGTGTTCATTGGAAGGACTGATGCTGAAGCTGAAACTCCAGTACTTTGGCCACCTCATGCGAAGAGTGGACTCACTGGAAAAGTCCCTGATGCTCGGAGGGATTGGGGGCAGGAGGAGAAGGGGACGACAGAGGATGAGATGGCTGGATGGCATCACCGACTCGATGGGCATGAGTTTGAGTAAACTCCTGGAGTTTGTGATGGACAGGGAGGCCTGGCGTGCTGCAATTCATGGAGTTGCAAAGAGTCTGACACGACTGAGCGACTGAACTGAACTGAAGAGGCAGGTAATATCTGAGTCTTGCCTGTTTTATCTGTGCAGTGGAGATCATCTCAACTCCTCAGGGTTGTAGGGAGATGGTATATATGAAAGCTCCTGGCACAAAATAGCAGCTCAACAAATGCCCATGTTTTTGATTCTTCCACTCACTTCTTACCAATATGTCTTCCTATAAAATCAACATCATTTGTTCCTTCCCCCAACAAAGTGAGTGACTATTTTCCAATGCAAAAAAGCAGTTATACTTTCAGGTTGTATAAACTTAGAAAAAGACAGTGTAATAGAGAGAGTGCTGATATTAGAACTAGAGATTAAGACTGGAGCCCAGTATACCTTTTCATTATCCATTTGGCTATAAAAATTTACCTAACCCCCTATACCTAAATATTCCCATCTACAAAATGGGAATAATTATAAGGCTATTGTGGGCAAAGGAGGTAAGACTATATAATGAAGAAAAGACAGCCTTTTCAATAAGTGGTGCTGGGAAGACTGGACAACTGCATGTAAAAGAATGAAACAAGGACATTTCCTTACACCAAACACAAAAATAAACTCAAATGGATTAAAGGCTTAAATGTAAGGCCAGAAACTACAAAGATCTTAGAGGAAAACATAATCAGTACTCTCTTTGACATAAATCACAGCAAGATCCTCTTTGACCCACCTTCTAGACTAATGACAATAAAAACAAAAATAAGCAAATGGGACCTAATTAAACTTAAAAGCTTTTGCACAGCAAAGGAAACAATAAATAAATAAAAAGATTAATAAGACTATTGTGAAAATCAGTGGGATGATGGAAATGAAAGTTCTTTGTCAACCATAAAGTTCTATATACAAATATAAGATACTCATAGCTTAGAAGTTCCATAGCCTAATTCACAAAATTGATCCTTATGTATAAAATATCCATTCAATCACTTATTCATTCAACCAAAAGATAATGACACCAACAATATGCTCAGCACTGTGCTAGCACTGTGGATACACAGACAAGAAGCCATGATTCCTACCCTTTCTGGTGGAAAGACAGACATGCAAACAAGCCATTGTAATATAATGTGATGCTTCTCAATAGAAGTAGATTAGAGGTATAATAGTTGATGAGATAAAAGACCTTCAAGTTGCCCAGAGGAGGAAGCCTGCATAGACAGGTACAATTTGAGCTAAGACTTGAATGATAAATTTGTGTACACTAAGCGAACAAGTGACATCTCTGGAACTGCCAGGCAGAGACATGGTCATGCAAAAGCATTGGTGTTTATGGAAAACGATAAATAAAAAGACAACAATGAACAACTTCTGCTTGAAATAACTCTATACCTGAGACCAAACAAATCCTTAGAGCTTCCAAAGTGCAGCTGAATTGCCCATGTGGCCCCCACCTGTGGTCTCACTTGTTTTCTCCATCTCCTTTGCGGAAGAGCTCTATTCCAGATGGAAC